TGTCAACATTTATCAAAGTTCTTAGAATTTCCAGAGGTGTGCTGTTTAGGAAGTGGGTGCCACTCCTGACTAGAAAACAGACATTCAGAAAGGCTTAACAGGTGACATGAAGGTGAGACAGCTGGCTAACAGTTCAGCTAGAGCCATGACTCAGGCCTCCAATATCCCCCCCCCTTAATTGTAAGGTCATAAATCTAAATTTAAAACTGGGGAATAGATTGAAAAACCAAATGCAAAGCAGGAAGATGGATGACTTTAAAAGTAGGAAATGAAGAGTGTCAGAAGGCGGTGAGATTTGGATGTAAATATAAAGAAGAAATAAAGGTGAAGAAACAGAAGCCCCCCAGTGGGAGTAAACAGAGTGAAGTGTGTGAGAGCCAGACCTCCCAGTACCACCTTGTTCTTCTGGGTCACATGAATTTTCCTCTGACGATGTGTAGTCACACCATTTTCCTGTCAGTCTCTCCTATTGGGAAATGTTTGTTTTCTTTCTTTGACAGCTAGATTTTGCAGATTTCACTGTACTACTTATACTATTTTTATCCATGGAATAGTGATGGAAGAAACTAGACTCATTCGAAGAAACTATAACAGAAGACAGTGGAGGGCGTTTAATAGCATGGCAGAGAAATTTATATGACAGCTCCAGGGAACTGTTCTCATTCCTGGGGGATGAAATGTTAAAATAAAAGTAAATTAACAAGGATTCTATTTGTTTGCCAGAAGATAGGAATAGTTTCCATATCTGTCTTTTCTTTTTTTAACACCATACATCTTTGCATTCTATGTGAATTAAGAACTCTATTTATCAGAGTAGCCTAGGTTTTGATACATAATGCAATTTGTTGTTTGTAATTTATAATTACTTGTCCATATGTGGACAGGAGATGGGAACAGAGATTTATTCAACGACCCAGGTTGACAAAGAACTCGCTATCTGGAGCATCTGTGGTTACTGTGTCAGCAAAGAACGGAATTGTCCCTCACTGCTCTCTGGAAATGACATAGCACTTTGCCCTCAATCCCAAGTCTAACAACAGTCACATGCTTTCACCCACCCAGTTGATGGACCTGGGAAATATGGTGGAGGTCAGTGGCATCCACTTCCTAAACAACACGCCTCTGGAAACTCTATGAACTTTGATAAATGTCGATAGTTGTAGAGGGGCTTCAAGCCTTTTGTTCATAGGGTCACTATGAGTCATGCTCAACTTGACAGCAATCAGCTACAACAATGTAGGATGGATGTTGGAATGTGATCTAGCAGACTGAACAGTTCCTGATTTCCATGAGCATAGTAAATACTAAAAATTATGTATGTAGTATAGTGCTCTAGGCTTTGTACAAGTATAAGCATGTTGTTTAGGAAGTAGATGCCACTCCTGCTTCTGAACGCTAGCTGAGAGCAGAGAGCAAGCCGTTATGTTGAGTTAGGAGTGAGAGTGCCAGTGTGTAGCCTAGGACGATGTTAGCAGGCAAAGAAAAGAGAGCCAGGAGAGAAGATGCTATAAGACAGGGAAACTCGGTAATTCTTCACTTCCTAAATACCATGAATGAAAGAAGCATCCTCAAGTTTCAGATTTGGGTGCCTTGAAGAATGAAGCTTACGTTTACAGAGAAAGAAAGAGGGTCCTTTTAGAGGATAGATGACAAATGAACCTTCAGTTGGAGTGATGGTGACGGAGAAGTATCCAAGACATGGAAAACCACAGGAAATAAAGGGGTAGACTTCAGGTTAGAGGGTGGGCCAGGACCCACCTCTTAATGAACATACTTCATTTAGTTGTGGTGGTGGTGGTTTTATGCTGGCTGTCAAGTCAGAGCCAAGTCATAGCTGATTGCCAAAGGCTATAAATCACATGGGAAGAGATTGCCTGCTTTTTCTCCCATGAATCATTTGGTGGATTTGAACCACATACCTTTGAGTTGGGCGGAGCAGTTCCTTACCACTAAGTCACCAAAACACCTTTCAGTTAATAGCAACATCCTAATACTCGGAGTCAGAAAAAAGGCATTAGGACCGGATTATTTGGGTTTAAAGCGTTGACTCACCACTCAGTGTGGCCCTGATTCTGTAGTTCTACCATCATTACAACAAGGATAACAGTATCATCTCATAAGGTTGTAGATTGTTCTTTGCCATGGAGTCAATTCCAGCCCATGGCCTTTCTGTGTCTATCCGAGCAGAATGTGCCCTACAGGATTGTAAACACTGTGATCTTTCAAAAGCAGATTGTCTGCCCACACCCCTCTGTGTGGGTTCAGTTCACCATTTCAACTAACAAGTAAGTAAGTGTGCCGCCCAGGGACACCTTGTAAAGATTAAATGAGATAATGCCTGTTGAATGTATGGAAAAAGTAGCACGTAGAAAGGTCAGTGACTAATTGCTCATTCCTAGCTAAATAAGATATTATTGACTGGAAAGTCAAGGCTGTTATTTAAATTATCAGTTTTTAAAAGCTTAGTGTAAAACAGGTTTCCATGAGCAGCCGTTCTCATGATGTGAGCTTCCTCCTCACGGGACACAGAGGCGAGGGCCACATGTGCTTCCCAGAACACTTGTAATTCATGCTTTTCACCTCTGCATTCTGTACCTACAACCAGTCATCAGTGGCTTTTTGACCTTACAGGTATTAATAAATTACTGCTAACTGAAAAGGAACCAAAATACATCATTTCAAGGGCTAATTTATGCTAGGTAGTGTCCATTTAAATTATACTGTGCTTTTTTTTTTTTACTAATTTTAATGAACGTTTACAGAGACTTAGGGTTTCCAGTCATTCATTGTTGCACTTTTCTCCCTGTCCACCCCTCCTTCCAACCCCCAAGTTCGCTCTTCTTTTACTTGAAAAGTAAAAGAAAAATTATTTTCATTGTTGTACAATCCCTCCCCCAAGTTCACTCCACTGTGCAGCCTTCATTCTGGACTCCTGTCATGACGATAATACCTACTCTTATATCCCTTTTTAAACAGTGCTCTCCCTCATCTGTTTCAATGCAGTATACATTATTTGTCCCCTCTTTCTCAGTCTCCCCCCAACCCTGATGTCAGTCCCGTTTTACAACAGTGGCACTAAAGCCATCTTTCAAAATGTGACACTACTTCTAAGCTGAACATAGATGTGTGCATCTAAATTGGTTTGTTAGTTATACCTCGTTTAAATGGCAAGATCTTAGAATGTACAAACTCTATGTTTGAAAGTATGATTGGTGACACAGCATTTGGGGTTTTCTGTTCCACTATAAAAGCTGGTTCCATTGTCAGTGTAGATACAGTGTTGGTCGAACAGATTTGAAGCAGCAGCCAAGTTGACTGTGCCAAAAGGTCTAGATGTCCATGCTAAGATATTCCTGTGTGCAAGTATGAATGTTGCAAAGAATCCTGAGACCTCCAAGCCTATAGTTTTCTGTTTTACCACCTATGTACATAAGCGTCGTCTTTAAGCAGATAGCAGCTCCATTCTCTGCTGCCACATATTCACCTTCTGGTAACCAAGTATTGAAATACAGTTATAAGATACTATCAGCCATTCGCGGAAAAGAAATCATCCCCTAAAGACACAAATAAAACAAAGCATACAACTTTTTATTCTTAGAAAGAATATAACAAGTATAAAAGTATAAAGAGCACAACCTTCTTCTCAATTAAAAAATAAATCCGTTACTTTGAGTTGATTTAAATTCCTAGTGACTACATTTGTGTCACCATGAATTAGAACCGGGCTACTCAGGGTTTCTAGTGGCTGGTGTTTTCGAAGTAGTTCGCCAGGCCTTTGCTCTGAGGTACACATGCGTACATTGGAACCTCTGGGTTTGTGTTGAGCTCCCAATCATGTTAACCATTTATACCACCTAGGGGCTCCACTTTCATAGGAATACTTCTTACAGTTCTTGTCTTTGTAAAAAACAAGCTCCTAAATATTTTATGTGGGGCCCCCTCGGTATTTCTTTTCAAAGAGGAAGGTCCTACCTTTTAGGATGTAACTTTCTAATAAATCTATCCTTGCTTTTTGCCTGAAAAAAAAGTACTGTGTGGACTTTGGGGGCGGGGGGCGGGCTGACTCTTCAATACTTCATCACCTTAGTAACCACAGACATTTATAATATAAATACTCAAATATATCTACTGCTAATTACATTTACCCTAATATTTTTAGTGATAAAGTAGTGAGTATTAGAAACATACTCAACATTTTATAACTTTCTGCTCTTTATTCCAAAAGAGTACGTTGAAACAAAGTTTATGATTCGAAACTGGTGTTACTGAAGAGTAAAAAAAAAAAGATCTAAAATTGTAAAAAGACCCATATATTTAAGAAATATGTTACATTATTAACATATTTTACATTGGTGATGTATAATCCAGTTACTGTTTTTTCTTTTGCCAGATTATTGGCAGGAAGTAACAATTAAATTTTCATGGACACATCATTTTTCTCTTTTTACAGCTGAGAGTTACTGTAACAGTTTCCATTTTGGCATATTATTTCGTTTACAAATTAGAACTTTTGCTATATGTTGTTCCCTTGAGTTACATGTTTCAGCTTTCTCTGAAATTGAAATGGGGAATTAGAACACAATGAAAGTTTCTTCTTTAGGCTTTAAAGACTGAATTATTCTGTTGTTGCAAACATATTTTTTACTAATGGTAGGCATTTTTAATTAAGTGGAAAAAAATTGAGGTAAGATGAATTTTTATACAATCACTGGGACACATATATCCCATGGGGTGTTTGGTCCTGGAGTTACTGGGACGAGACCTGTTTCTTCAGCATCTTGTAGTTACATATGTCCCCACCAGATGGCAGCATGTACTAGAGTGGGATCCCCCTTTCCCACTTGACTTCAGAGGCAGAAGATGTGGCTGGACACTGTGTCCCTTGAGTCACAAAGTGGTTAAGGACTCCTGGATGCAAGTTGGATAATCCCTTTGCTTTATAAGTCCTGCCGACTCTTCATAAAGTTCATTTTGCTGTAAACCCAAGACTGACTGCCTTTTTATTTTCCATTTAAAGACTTAGAATGTATCATCAGCTGGGTTTCTGTCATTTCACGTGAGTTGTCTTCGGGGGCTGACCTGACGGCACTGGAAATGGACACACTGACTTGGCGTCTCAACATCTTCATCACTCTTCTCTTGTACCCTTTACATGCAAAGAAGTAAATGAAAGGGTCCATGCAGCAGTTGAAGTTCATGAGGCCAACTGTGAAATGCAGAGAAATCTGGAACGAGTGTCTGTGGCGGCAGTCCAGGAGGTCAGAAAAGTGAAGCTTTTTGATCATGTGTTGGATAATTGCAACGTGGTACGGTGTGAAACAGATAACAAATACGATGATTATGAAAATGATGGTGTTGAGGGCCTTTTTGTTTGCACCAGATTTCTCAGTCAGTGGGTTTTGTTTGGCAGTTTTAAAGAGTTTGCAGCAGATTTGGGAGTAGCAGAAGAGGATGATGACGAGCGGGAGGATGTACCCGACTAGACACGCACCGAGAAGAATCCAGGGAAGGCCTTGCGTCCCCTCAAAGTTTGGATATTCCATGCACGTAGTCCTTCCAGTCTCGTCCTTTGACATGGGTCTTATGAGTAGTGGGAGTGTTTGAGCAAACACTAGCATCCAGACAAAGATACAGATGCCTTTTGCATGTTCAATCCTTTTCATCTTGTTGTATCGCAGAGGGTGAACCACAGCAAAGAAACGATCAATGCTCATGCAGGTCATAAAGTTCACGCCCGCGTAGGTATTAATGTAAAACACAAGCGCAGTTACCCTACACAAGGCGTCCCCAATTCTCCAGTCAAAGCCAAGGGCGTAGTAGGCAATCCGTGTAGGCAAAGCTGTGGTAAAAAGTATGTCAGAAATCACCAGATTGGTTGAATATAAGGTAGTGGAGTTGATTTTTTTCCTGTTTTGAATGATGACCACCAAAGCTAGTAAGTTCCCCAAAAGCCCGATGATGAAGACGATGCTGTAATGCAGAGGCATCGCGATCCTGGCCGTCCTGTGGTGTGCGTAAAGGTCACAATCATTTCCTTGAGGAGTGGCAGAGGGAAGGGTCAAGTTGTAATCCATTTTTTTAAAATCTTCCGGTGATCGTTCAAGGCCTCTAGGAAAAAAACCAAGAAGGGTGCGTTTCAGTGAAAGCATATTCCATTTAAAGCACTATAAACTGACTAATTTTGAAGATTGCAGGGTTTACTTAATTTTGAAAAATCCATGATTATTATACGCTATAGTTAAGTAGATGATCCAGGTTAGGAAGAACAGAATGTAACATTGACGTTTTTAGGCTCATAATTGAGTGGGTTTGACAAAACCTTGGCAAAGGAACTGGAACCAGTTCATAGCTGACCTTGAAGTAGATTTTTGGAGGCTCTAAATCACACAGGAGGAGAGTGCCCCTCTTTCTTCCATGGAGCCACTGGTGGATTTGAACCACCACAGAGACATGGCCTTTGGATTAGAAGTAGCTCCCTATGGTCTACGCCACCAGAGCACCCCAGAGGAACTGGAATCATCTCAACAGGACAGATGCATTTTTGTGACGAGAGGGAATGAATAAACTATCATTTTAGGCAGAAATTCCCCTCCGTTTTTTCTGAATCATTGCTTGCCTAAGAATAAATTCATGTAAAGCACCCCACATTTAGATGGCTGTAAAACTTTTTTTATACTAAATTTCAGTTGGTTTAAAAAAAAGCCAAATGCATATCACTGCCAGGAAATGAAATCAGTCACACATTTATGTAGTGAAATACGAATTTACCACAGTGATCTGATTTGTGTTAACCTAAAAAGTATGAGAAACAAGCTTAGATCTTGTTAGGAACTGAAAGTTAGGTTTTCTTAAAAAAAAAAAAAAAGGAGAAAGACAAAACTTAAAACAACTTAAAGGGAAATATTTCATTTTAAACTGTGTTACCTTGTTGCTATTCCAAGGACACATGCAGTGTGCCTTCCAACAGTTAGTTGTTGTGTGTGGTCTTGGAAATGACTCTTAGCTGACCCTCCAGGGGGGTTTCAGGAGAAGTACGCTGCCAACTCGAAAGGTACCAGATTCAAATCCACCAGCTGCCCCGTGGGAGAAAAGTAGGCTGTCTCCTCCCATGCAATTTACGGCCTCTGCCGCTAGAGTCGGTTCCGACTCTGCAGTCTATAACACCAAATCCTCTGGGAAGAGGCTCCTCACCTCCTGAAGAGCGACTGGTGGTCTTGAACCTCCTGCTGCCTCTTACACACTAGGCCCCCAGAGCCCCCCACGCTTATGCATGAGCGTTAACCACGGTTTTTATCCTGCTTTGCTTTAGTCTCTTAATGTTTCCTTGGATCAATAGAATCTATTTATTTGTCATATGTAGATTTTTATAGACATTTGATAGACTTTCTGCAGCATTTCAGTGTGTTACTACATAATTATACTAGCTACTGCTTTGGGGTCTACCAGTGGCTCAGTGGGAGTGGAATGGTCCATCTCCTCCCATGCAGTTTGCTGCCTCTGAAAACCCCCTTGGAAGGGTGAGCTGCGGTTTAGTGCCAACTCAGTGCTACACAAAACAAAACGCTTTTGATGAGTGCTTAGATTATTTCACTGTTTCCCCATGACAGTTTTAAGTCCCAAATTGTAAAGAGGTCAACCCTGTGAGAAGACCCCATCCCATGTAAGAGAATGAAATTTGGTAAAACTGGGGAAGATCAGAGCAGTACATTTTGTGTAGTAAATTTTACGAGGTGAAAATAGTTCATCTTACAGAGTCACCTCTGTGAAAATGTAATGTTTGGGTTTTTTTACGTGAAAATATCCGCATACATAGTTTATATTGGAGGATAAAGCAGTCTCATGGGAAATACATGAGGACATATGTAGTGAAATCTGAGACTTTTCTAAAGGAATAAGGTTGCTTTTTTTAAAAAAATTATTAATTTTAATGAAAGTTTACAGAGACGTTGGATTTCCATTCATTCGTTGTTGTACTTTTCTCCCTGCCTGCCCCTCCCCCCAGTTCGCTCTTCTCTTTGAAAAGTAAAAGAAAAATCCTTTCATTGTTTTACAGTCCCTTCCCCCAAGTCCATTCCACTATGCAGCCTTCATTCTGGACCCATGTCAGGACAAGAACAGCTAATCATGTATCCCTTTTACATAGTTCTCTCCCTCATCTGTTGCAATGCAGTATACATAATTTATCCCATGTGGATATTAAGATTAAGCTAATTGTAGAATCAGAGAAGAATGGTGCCATCACTTACCAGCTTGTGTGTGCCTGAGTTTGTTACCATATTAAATTCAACCTTCAGTGAATCTTGAAATGGCAGAGGTGCCTGGCCAGTTTAAATTCAAGATCATTTGGGATAGTGTTGTTTATAAAGATGAAAGAAATGAAACACATCAAGTGCCTATCATTTGGAGAATTATTAAATGTTTTGTAATACAGCTATAGAGTAAAATACCGTGTGGTTGCTGATAGTAGCCCAAAGATGCTTTTTTTAACTGACTTTATGTTAAATAAAGAAGATCAGAGCAATACATTTTGTGAAGTAAGTTTTAGGAAGAAAAAATAGTTCATCTAGACATCCCGTTATGCAACATACCACGTCTGAGCAGGCAGAAAACAACCTGGTAGATTTGCACACAAAAAGATGTCTGCATGGATATATATGCCAAATCATAATTTTGTTAAATAGTGATTTTTTTTGTGTGTTTTAGCTGTATTTTTTCTTAACACTAAACAATGAGTGTGAAATGATTAATAGGTCAAGAACTGCCTCCTCAGATTTTTAAATCTGAGAAAGACGTTTTGTTCAGTTCAGCCATTCTTAGAAAAAAGTCTGTTTTCTGGTATACTTTTCAGAACTAACCCTTCAGTGCTCTATATTCAGATTTAGGAATTAGTTTGTAAGAGGTGCCAGCTTTGTGTCAGAAGCTTTCTCATGGCGTATGTACACTCCACGGTGGCCCCGTGAGTTAAGTACTGTTATCCCGTACTGCCCCTGAAAACCTGCTGCAGGGTCAGCTCTGGGTGGGTTCCGACTCCGTGGTCCTCAGGAGCAGCGCCCTACATCCGAGGGGAACATCTGAGACTCAGAGCGTTGAAAGGTCTCAACAGATACTTCTTTCTAGTCACTGACTCCAGCTCTCATTCATACCTTTTTCAGGGGACAATTTATTTCCTACTGCCTTTGAAGAGCTGAGGAAGCTCTGGTAGGCTGGGTATAGCAGCAACCCAGAGGCAGAGGGTTCAAATCCACCAACAGCTCCTCAGAAGGAAGCTCCTCCCATGTAATTTACAGCTTCTGGAGGGTCAGCTATGAGTTGGCTCTGACTGGGTGACAGGGAGTTACTTTGTTGTTGAAGAACTGAGAAATGTGTGTTTCCAAAGTTCTCTGGACTTTTAAAGACTCTTTGAAGTGTCACGCTTGTTCTTTGCATGGTGGTGCTCTGTGATCAGCATTTGGTTTGTAAATGTCTCTTTTATACTCATTGTTCAGGTATAACTTCAATAGTCATTCTTGAATTTGGTATCTTAAGTATTTAATTTTTGTTTTAATTATTAGCAGTCACTTCTGACATATTATTTAGAAATGTAAACCAGGATGGACTTGAAGTACTATAAAGGTTGCCATTTTATTACCTAAAGAAAAGCACAAAACACTGAGCATGTGTTTTTGTCTAGAGTTTGTTTCATTGCAGTAGAGTTGCTCACATTTCTCTAGATACTATCATAGAATTTTTTTGCATAACCGGACATGTTGACATGAACTGACAGGCTCTATCTAGCCACAAGATGGAAAAAAAAAAAATAGAAGGCCTAAGAAAAGCTCTTGTGTAGTATTTAAGAAAATGGTCTGAGATCTGATGTAATTTGGCATTGGAAATATTTACCTTGGATACCACCTGGAGACATTGGTGCATGTGGACCCAGTCCTTTTTCACAGTGTACCTATGTGTTCTACAATCTCAGCTAAAAATATTTGGCTTTTTAAAATTTGAGGTAGAAACAAAATAAAATAGAAAACTTTTACTATATTGAAAAAAATGTAGTTAGTGTTAGAATATCAGATTTTTAGTAATTTCATAATTATTTTAACCCTTTTATGATTGAATTCTTGCCTGCTTTGAAATTTTTAGACATCTCTCGTGTTCTCAGTAAGGCAGGAGTGATAAGGGGACATGTGTGGGTTTTGGTCTTTCTTTTTTAGATAATTTGGATTTTGATACAATTATGTAGAACACACATGCACTAAGTGAACTGAGGTGTTAAGATTAGGCGGGTAAGGCCCATTTTTTCCAGAGTCATGCAGTTATACGAGTCCCTGTAAGGCAGTCGAACACACTCTGCCTGGGGGAGCAGCTTCCCCGGAAATTGAGAGGCTGAAAATACTGGGGGGGTTACATATCCCCTAGGACACAAAAGGGTTAAAATTCTCAAAGGTCAATCTTTATTATTTAAATATTATCAGTACTGTAAGTGAAAGAGATAAATGTCTGTGAATTCTGTTTAAATTCAACCTTTAACAATTAATTGGATGGGTCAAGTTCTGCTGAAATGATAATTGATGCCTGCCTTCTCTGTATAAAAATCAAGTTTGCTCAAGACAACCTAGACCTTGAGGCCGTCTGACTCAGAGGACCCACAGTAGCAGACAACAGAGAGGAAGTTTCAGGAGAATTCTCCAAACAAGGGGAGGCACGAAAATGCATTAGGACAGATAGCGATTCTCTTCGTCCATGGCTTAAGGGTTGGCGCAGGGTTCTCGAAGCTGAGCTGCTGGGTTTGCAGCATTCTCACACAGCAGGCAGCACACTGCTCACCCAGTGTTTTTTCTCACTCCCCTTGTACTTCACTAAACAAACATCACTGAGCTTTTCTGTGTGGCGTTGGCTTGTGAACTAGGGGCGAGTGGAAAGCGGTAATTCCTGGTGTAGAAATGGAGTGTGACCAGTCCCACCTCCCATGACGGCACTGGGACGTTCACACTGGCTGTCCACTGGGCTGCTAATCAATTACTAGTTAGTGGTGTAAATATCACATATTCAGCTGATAACCAGAGGGCAGGGGGTTTTTGAGTCTACCTAG